GGGAAGAGTGTCTCTGTTTCTGAGCAGGGCATCGATTTGATGATGTGCTTCTCTCATGGTTTGTTGGAGGGGATGCCTAAGTGGCTCATGTGATCTTTCCATATTCCCAGCAGTTCAAGGTCAGCAGCAGTAAAGAACATCTTCACTAGTCAGGTTCAAACTGCTTTGTGAAGGGATAGGTGGTAGAAAGAAGTGACGCAGAAGCGCTGAATATCTAGCTAGCTCTCTTTGGCCTTTGCCACTATTTAGTGATCAGTCTTGTAAACCTGCATGGATAACTTAAAACGTCTGTCTGTCTTTCTATCTGTCTGCCTATGTGTGTACTGTGTTTGTACCAGAGGTGGTATTCTGCCAGTTTGCACCGATTCAGCCGAGCCAATAGTGGCGGCCAAGGTGGCATCATCACCCATGCCCATCCCGCGTGTGCTCCCACTATTGAACCAGTAGCAAAGAAAATATGATTTCATGCCTGGTTTTTACCGTATTCGTATTTTATAGTGCTATTTCAAATGTGTATTATCCAGATTGGTAATTATAATTTCTTCTTGTTGTATATGTGTAGTCTGAGCAAGCGTTTTTAGTATATTTTGATTCAATATTGTCCTTTAGCCATTTTTCTTTTGCCTGTATGTACTTTCATTAACTATCCTGGCACTGTCAATTTAGTTTTGGCATTTTTTTTATTTTACAATTCTGTAAGTCTTCAGGGTAGATTCTGGGTAGATTTCAGAGTGACTGAATGGAGCTGAGCATTTACTAGTTTTGTCTATTTTGAATGTTTGAATACCTATTGCTTGTGCTGCTTGTTACCTGAAATATAGTTAAGCAAGTACTTAAATCTTCACTGAAAAGATTCTTCCTTGCAAGATTTCTCCACTTAGCTATAATTATGATAGACTGAACCTGCTGGTGCTCACTGGGCCATTTGTGTGACTCAACCCTATACATTTCCCCCTCAGCCCAGCTGAAAATAGAAAGACAACTCTTCCTGCCTGATCCTACAGAATGGAGCCAACCTTGAACCACAATGGTGTAACCAAATTTCATATCTGGGGAGGAGCACGGGTTGGAGGTTATCAGACCCGTGTTCAAGACCCGAGTGCTGCCATGGGGTGCAGTGTGATCAGGGGTGGGTTTCTCGCCCCGTTCCAACCGAACCGGTTGGAATGGGGCTGGCGGCGTCCTCGTGCATGCGCGCAGTGCACACATGCGTATTAGCGCCTGTGTGATGCTCCAGCTGCTCCTGGAGGATCGCGCAGGCGCTGTATGCATTCTGCGCATGCGTGGAAGCGCAGAACTCATCAAAACCGGGTACGAAAGGTGGGCAGGCGGGTGGATGCTT